ACTCCCCACAGCCACCACCCCACCGCTCACCATCCCACACCACCACCCCACGGGCCACCTCCCCATAGCCATCATCCCATATCCACCACCTCCCCACAGCCACCACCCCACCGCCTCCCCATCCCCCATAGCCGCGGGCTTAGGGCCGTGCGTTACCTTGGGGACAAAAAGCAGCCCCAGGGTGACGGTGACGGTGCCGTGGGTGTGGGCGAAGCAGAGCAGCAGCATCCAGTCGGGGTGCAGCGACGGCACCGCGATGAACCTGGAGGGGGGAAGGAGGCACCGCGGGGTCCCACAGCTCCAACCCCACATCCACGGTGCAGAGGAATGCTTTGCGGCCACGTGGGCATCCCGCACCGTACCTGACGGCGTGGAAAGCGGCCGAGAGGAGCAGCTCATTGTGCAGCGCGATGCCCATATAGCGCGGCTCGTGGAAGGCGGAAGGCACCGCACGCGCAGCCCAGCACAGCGCGCTGCCCCACAGCAGGAGCAGCAGCTCGGCTGCAGGACAAAGCACACGGCATGGGCACCTCTGTGGGTACGCGGAGCAGCGGGGAGGGCTGCGGGCACCCGGGGAGGGGGCGCTCAGCCGTCTCTCACCGACCACCATCATGTAATCCCAGCGGTCGTGGCTGCAGACGGAGAAGTGCAGCCCTCGGGCAGTCTGCGCACGGACCACCAGCGGGACGTTCCGGCCGACGTTCTCCAATGCTGCCACGGTCCACGCTGCCAGAAACCACAGCGGGGGCAGCAGCAGCAGTCCCAGAGCCCGCAACACGCGCCCGCTGGCCGTGTAGGACACACGCTGTGCTGCACGGACCAGGAACGCCCTCAGCACCCTGCGGGACACCGGGGGTGAGCGTGGGGTCGGACCTCATCCAGCATCCCAGCAGGACCCCCCCCCGTTCCCCATTACCTGTACAGCTTTAGGGTGATGGTGCCGTACACGATGGCGAAGCCCAGCACGCGCACCCAGCGCAGAGCGATGCAGCGGAAGGTGCTGGGCTTGAAGTAGAGGATGAAGACCTGGGGCGGGAGGGGGAGGGGATGGTGGAGGTGGTGCGGGGCTGCAGAGCCGTGCCCGTGTTCAGCGCACAGATCCCGAGGTGTCGGGGAGAAAGGGGAAAGGCCGCGGCAAGTGGCAGCCTGGGGACGGCAGGGCTCCCAGCCCAGCCTTTGCTCTCTGGCACACAGAGGGGGTTTGGGCGGGGGTCCCACGGCCATGGGGAGGAGGAAGGAGGTTTGGTTTCCTAAGAAGATTCTGCCCACAGCTGTCAGATCTGTGACGGCAATGCCGACAGTGCAGTGTCCTGCGTGGCGCCAGTCCTGACCCACGGCAAAGCCCCGTGGGACCCAGCTGTGCCCCATGGCAGCAGGGTGCAGCCCACAGTCTATGGGGCTTTCTGCAGGGAGGTGCGGGGGCAGCAGGGGAGGAATTTGGCCGCGCACTCACGGGGAAGTAGAGCAGCAGCGACCCGAAGAGGATCGTCTCCAGGAGCACAACGCCCGACGCCCGGATCCTCTGCGGGGACAGAGGGCCATCAGCAGCTCCCGGGGCCCGGAGGGGGGGCGGCCCTCATTTGGGGGGCGCCCGAGGAGGTGGGATCGTGAGGACCCCGCGCTGCTCTCGCCTTGCTCCGCCGGCAGTGATAAGCGAGCAGCATGCAGAGGAACACGGCCAGCATGCAGCACGCCTGGCAGCACAGCACGGCCGCACGCAACGCGCGATCCTCCTGCACCTCGCAGGGCGCATCGTCCCGGCAGTTCGCACAGCCCTCCCGGCACCGGCGGCACGCCAAGCGAGCGGCATCCTCAGGCGGCACTGCGGATGGAACGGGGGGGGGGTTGGTGTCCCAAAGCATCGCCCCGTGCGCCCTGCGGGGCTTTGGGGGGAGGTCGGGGGGTCGCACGGCACGCACCTGCCCCGCCGCTGAGCCCGTAGAAGCCCGGCTTGCAGCGACACGCGTACTGCCCCAACACGAAGCCGCGGTTCTGCTGCGGGATGCACTGCGGGATGGGGGTACGGCTGCTCTGCGGGGTCGTCCCGCACTGCGCTCATAACCACACAGGGCAGCGGGGGCTGCGGCGGCTCGGTGACAGCCGATTCCCCCCCCCCCCTCACCTCCCCCGCAACGCAGCGGTTAAACATTTGGGAATTAAAAGTCAAAGCCTGGCACCCAAATCCCCCCCTAAAACCTAAATGGACACCTAATGCGGCGCGCTGCTAATCCGGGGGGGCGGAGCGGCCCCTAATCCACGCGGTCGGGGGGGACGGGGGGCACCTCCGGGGGTCGGGACGCCGCTCAGACCCGCTGGGACCACCCCGAACTCTGAGTTGGGGTGGGGGCAGCCGATGGGGGGGTCAGCGCCAACCCCCCCGGGGATGCTCCGCCCATCGGTCCCCGCTGTCCCGACGCGGGTGGCAGCCGGGTCACCCCACGGCGCTGCCGAGGGAGGGAGATTTGCACAATAAACCGCAGAGCGGTGCGGGAGCGGCAGATGGGGGCGGGGGGGATGGGGGGGGCGGATCAGCACCGACGGACGGGCAGCGGGGACGGTGCGACGGGGGGAGGGGGGAGCGGGGCAGCCCCACTGCGCGAGGGGATCCGACAGGGTTCTAGAAGGTGGGGGTGGGTGCTGGGAAGTGGGGGGTTTAATGCTGGGATCGGTGCGGTCTGGGTACCTGGGTGCTGTTGAGGTCGCAGCGGTGGGTGCCCGCGAACCACCCCGTCCCGCTGTCGCATTGATCGATGCCCACATCCCGCAGCTCGATGTCCACCCGCACGGCTCCCCTACAAAACCGCGATGGGGTCAGACCGGGAGGGGGCACACGGGAACCGGGGGGTTGGGAGGGGGGGCAAACAGCGGTGGCAGAGCCGGGTGCGGGGACACAGAGCCACCTGGAGAGGTCCTGACCCTCGGGAGGGTCTCACATCCACACGTGCACAGCACTGCACACACGTGCATGCACAGCAACACGCGTGTGTCTCCCAGCATCCCCAAAGATGCACACGCATGCATGCAGTCTCACATGCACGCATGCACACACGTGCACACACACACACAGCTGCACAAACACGCTTCCCAACACGCACACACACGCAAACACAAATGCATGCACACAAGCACACTTCCCCCCCCCCGCACTCCCCCTTCTCACTCACTTGAACTCGGGGCTGAGGTCGGGCTTCAGCCCATAGAAGGCAGCAGACAGAGCGACGGCCCAAACGGGGACGAATTTCCCATCTCGGCACTCGAGGAACGGCTGCGACCACCGCACGTGGCCCGGCCCCGCCACGTACCCATCGCCCCGCCGCCACTTGGGGGTCTCCATGGAGCGCAGGTCGTTGCTCAGCACCCGTTTGCGGAGCGGAGGACCGCGCCGTTCCCGCAGCTCCGCCACCCATTCGCCGTCCGAGCTGCGGTTCCCCGGCGCGGACACGTCCCGAAGGTGGATCTCCCCGTCGACGGCCGTGGCTTGCAGCACCAGGCGGGGGGAGGGGGCAGCCGGGTGGGCGTCCAGGGCCAGCAGGGAGCGGCGCGCCCATGGATGCCCCCCCGCCAGGCTGCGCGTCAACGCCTGGTACCATTCCACGTCCTCGGCCACGCTGGCCTCGCGGAGGTCGTTGCCCTGCAGCAGCATGTTGAGGAAATTGGCCGCCTGGGTCAGAGCTTCGGGGGCGGCCCGCAGGGCGGCTCGCAGCGCCGGTGGGGGGTCGGGCCCCGGGGGTCTCAGCGCGGCGCTGCGGCTGCAGTTGGTGAGGGCCAAACGCCGCGCGTCGCCCGTCCGCAGGAAGGAAAGCGCCGCGGAACCCTCCGGGTCCCCCCGCGGATCCGTCGGGGGGTCGTCGGGGGGCGGCGGAGCCCCCGCCCGCAGCGGCAGAAGCAGCAGCAGCAAGAGGAGGAGAAGGAAGGCGGCCGGAGCGCCCCAGAGCGGCGGCCCCCCCGGGGGGGTCATGGTGGCACGGTGCCCGCGAGCCGCGCTCCGACCGCCGCCTGTTTTCCTCCTTCGCAGACGTCACGGCCCCACGCTGCGCTCGGCGCTGCTCCGACCGCCCCGACCCCCCCGTCCCCGTCCCCCCCCCACCCCCACCCGGTGCTGCCGTCGGGCTCCGGTTCCGCCGCGGGGAGCTCAAAGACCCCCCCCCCGCCCCGGATCGGCCGTGACGGAAGAGCATCCCGACGGGCCGCCATGGCAACCGGGTGCCGGCCCCACAGCCTCACAGCCCCATATCCTCGCATCCCACTGCCCTGTCATCCCAGTATCCCAACATCTCAGCACCCCGGTACCCCAGAAACCCGTGATGCCACCATCCCAGCATCCCCACGTCCCGTTATCCCAGCATCACAGCACCCTGTTATTCCAGTGTCCAGTTATCTCAGCATCCCATTATCTCGGCACTTCTGCTCTCAGCATCCTCACATCCCGCTTCCCATCCCCCCAGCATCCCGTTATCCCAACATCCCAACATCCCAGCATCCTGTTATCCCAGTGTCCCAGAACCCAGCATACCACAATCCTGCTCCCCCTCTCCCCTTCAGAGGATGCTGAGAGCCCCCAAAACAGGCAGGGACGGAAGTGGGGAGGGGGGGCACGCAGGGCAGCGTGCGGCCCGGGATGGGGGGCGTCCGGTTCCCTCCTGGCTGAGAGGGGAAACCGAAGGTGCAGGAACGGCAGCGCCGTGCCTCAATTTCCCCACTCGGCCGAGGGGGCGTGGCCTGAAGGGCGTGGGCGTGACCTCAAGAGACACGGGCGTGGCCTCTAGAGCGTGGGCGTGGCCTCGCAGACGATGGGCGGCGCCTGGAGGGGGCGTGGCCGTGTGCTTTATGGGCGTGGCCTCGGGGATAGTGGACTGGAGCCTGGTGAAGGGGCGTGGCCAAGACCGGAAGCTGAGAGGCGTGGCCACGTGCGGTCTGCCCGTGGAGGAGGGAGCGGCGGCGGCCGTGCGGGGGGCGGCGGGACCGCTCCGCTCCCGGGGCGCCATGCGGCGGCCGTAGCGATGCAGCGCGTCGAGCTGCGCGACGGGGAGGCGGCGGCCGCGGCTTCCTACCGGGTGCTCAGCCGCCTGCTGGGCTATGGGGCCGGGCCGGAGGCGGGGGCGGCCGGCGGCCCCGGTAGCGGCGCGGCGGTTGCGGGGCCGCCGGGCCCAGGCGGAGCGCGGTTGCCGCTCCCCGTCCCCGCTCCGGGAGGGGCCGCTCGGCCGCCGCCGCAGCTGATGGTGTTCCGTAACGCCGCCGAGGGCCGGCCCGGAGAGGAGGAGGCGGGCGGCGGGGAAGGCCCGGCGGGCGGCCCCGAGCTGCTGTGCCCGCGGCATCGCTGCGCGTTGGAGCCCAAAGCGGCGGCGGTGGCGGCGGGGGGCGGCTGGGGGCCGCCGGGGGGGCTGGAGCTGCAGCTGGCGGCCCTAGGGCTGCGGCCCCCGACGCTGGGAACCAAGGGCCCCGCAGCCTGCCCGTGTCTCGGGCCGCCCGCCGCCGAGGAGACGAGCGACGCGCTGCTGGTGCTCGAGGCGCTGGAGCCCGACGAGGCCGAGAGCTGCTCCGAGGAAGAGCCGGGCAGCCCCGGCGCCGCAGACCCGCAGGAGCCGCCCCGCGGAGCCGCCGCCGCGCGGAGAGCCGGGCCCGGCCCCGGGGCAGCGGGAGGAAGGAAGGGATCGCTGCGGGTCCGCCTGAGCCGCCTCTTCCGCACCAAGAGCTGCAGCGGAGGGTCGGCCCCCGGGGACGGGAGCGGAGGGAGTCGGCGGGGAGCGGAGCTGACGGCCTCGGCGCACAGCCTGAGCGACGGCGGAGGGGCCCGGGGCCGCGGGCAGGAGGAGGGCAGGTACGGAGCCGGGTTTCGGGGCTGCTGGGGGGGCAGGATGCGCGGGCGGTGCGGGAGGGGCCGTGGAGCCCCAGGGCCGAAGCAGGAGAGCGGCTTTTGGGGGGATGTACGGGGGTCTGCGCGCCTTCCTGCGGCGTAGAGGGCTTCCCTGGGGGTCGCAGCTGGGGATGCTGGAGGTGCTGATCCCGCAGCTCTGCGCGGTGCTGCTGGGCTCCGTGGCTTCAGCAAAATGCAGTGCTCCATCCCTGCAGGTGGATGGGATCCTGGGCAGCCTTTGGGGAGCACCCAGGCTGTGGCGTGGCTCGGAACTGAGTGGGCTGTAAGGTTCCCTCCAACCTCATCCCCTTTAGGGTTTGGATTCTGAGCTGCTCCCTCCAGCTCTGCACCCCATGGCCACTGTGTCCCCCTGGTGTGGGGCTGCCAAGCTGTCGTGGAGGGGCACAGCCACCAGTCACTGCCTGGCACTGCCGACAGCTGGCCCTTATCCTTTGCATCACAGAGGACACGTGGTTTGGCTCAGCAGTGCATGGAGACCATGCGAGTCCTCCCACATCGCCCCATCCAATCATCAGGGTGTCCCTAATGGTAACCTGTGGTCTATGGGAGCCCTGAGATCAGGGGGCACAAAAGCAGCAGCAGCTCCATCACAGCCACGGAGCTGCTGTGCTTTTCCCTGGTCAGCACAGTGCTGCTGTTCTACCAAAGGTTACTTCAAGGTGCCTGATGCAGCAGCTGTTGTGGTTCAGGGCCTCAGAAAAGGCAGAGCTTTCCAGGAGTGCCCTCCTGCCCAAGAGCTCAGAGCTGCTGCAGTGCTGCTCCTTGTGCTGCAGTGTAAGGCTTCTCTCTGAAAGCTGCATCCGTGGGGCTGCTCTTCTTGCACCTGCAGTTCAGAGTTGGTGCAGGTTTAGCAGTGGTTCTGCGGTCGGCTCAGCAGCCCAGGCTTCTGAGTTGGAGGGCCGACCTGACCTTGTTTGGTACTTCATCTCTGTGCGATGGTGGTGTGGGAAGGCTGTGGTTGTGCTGCGTGGCTCTGGTTGGCGAGGGCAGCTCTCATCCTGCTGCAGGTGTTGGTCTGAAGTCTGTTTTTGAGGAGTGCGTGGCTGATCGCCGATGAACCGTCCTCCTTTGGGAGCTGGGGAGCAGCTGAACCCCCAAACAGGCACGAGAGACCTGAAAAGGAAGCAGTTGGATGAGCTTTTATATCTTGAGATGAGTTCCCTCAGCTCCAGGTTCAGCAGAGTGCTCCCAAAGTGCCTGTGATCATGCAGTGTGTTTGAGGCACAGTGTTGGGTTTGGAGCAGCAGCGCTGCCTGTTGTGAAACAGCTTCTTGGCTCCAGCAACCACACTTGCTTGGGGTTTTCTTTCCTAAGACTTGATTAATCACCTTGCCAGAGATTTGCTTAGCAGCAGGACGGAGCCCTGGCCTTGCTGGTTGGCTGTCCTACTTAAACCAGAGCTCTGCTCCAGGGGTTGGATCAGCACGTGCTGCTGTCTGCAGGCTGGGTGCATCTTGCTGAGGGTTCTCCCAGCCCGAAAAAGATCAAATGAAGCCCGTTCATGATTTCATCCCCCTCCCCCATTATTTTGTATTTCCAACAGGAAACACAGACTGACAAGAACTCAAAGTGCCTTTTCCCCGGTTGTTTTCAGCCCCCTCTTCACAGGTAAGGATTTGAAGGGGCTGCACTCTGGTCTTCTGCAGGGCAACGTGTGCTGAGCGCTGCAGGATTCAGGCAGATTCCCGGGTGCCACGTGTGTTCATTGAGCAGCAGGGCTGCTCAAAGCCAGGGCTGCTCCTGCTCTATCAGCTGTTGCTGGGGGAAGATGGGAGCGTAGGGTTTGTAGTTCCTGCACCTGCTGGCACCTCAGCACCTCTCAGCTTCCTTTGAAGCAGCCCAGCATACCTGGATGCTGTTGGCAGGGTGTGGAAATGAAAGAGCATCTGCATGCACACGTGTGCATCTACACCCACAGAGCCCCAGGGGAAAGCACCTCGGGTAAGGACTGCACCTAAATACCCCTCTAATGATACTGATTAATGGGCAGAGAGCTTTCACAGGCAGGAGGAAGCTGAGTCAGTGCTGTCCTAGGCTGAGTGTCAGGGCAGGTTGCAGGAGGTCGGGGAGCTGCTGCTGTTGCTGCTGCTATTGCTGCTGCTGGAGCACATCTGGGGGGGTTGAAGTGGTCTCTGAGGCTGTGGGTGCAGAGATCTTGGTGCTGCTGGTGGCTGGCAGCTGGTTGGGCTGAATTCTGACCGACGCCTCCGTTGTGGCAGCGGCACTTTGGTTGTTGGCAGTGCTTCTTTATTGGTGCAGTGCTGAGGCTTTAAGTGGGGTTTGATGGCTTCGTTTTGTCTCCCACTATTTTGGAGTAAACTTAAGCTTTCCCACTTTACCTTGGACGTCTTCATATCGTTGCTTTCCCCAGGCTCTGTCCCGAGGTCAGAGCCTTTAGGCTCTATCCCACTCCCTTGTGAACGTCAGGAGTTGATCCCTTCATGGCCTGCAGGCTGAGATGTATTTCTCTTAAACCACCCGAGTCACCTGCATGCAAAACCTGACCAAGAGCTGACGGGATCTGCTGCCCCTTCCCCTGCCCCTCTGCCTCCCCTGGTGCTCACAGTTTTCCCTCTGCCATCCTCCAGGTGAAACGGTGTCTCTGGTGGACGTGGACATCTCTCAGCGAGGACTGAGCTCCCCTCACCCCCCGACTCCACCGCCGCCTCCGCGCCGAAGCCTCAGCCTGCTGGGTACGTGGTCTGTTTGGGTGCAGGGCTTCTCTCTGCTGCCCCACAGCGTTTCTTGCTGCTCCTCCATAGCATCAGCATCTTCTGTAGGTCCCTGCTGTGCTTCACAATTTGGGGACCATGAGCTTGGCGTGGTTGCTAAGCATCTTTGTGCTCAGGATGGCAGCCCTGCTGAGCGCACATCGCGTGTGCCAGGGAGGCAAAACCTGCTTTAAACACCTGCCTTGTGCTGCAGGCTGTGTGCATGGAGGTAACTAACTAACTCCTTTGCTTTAAGGGTGCAGGCTGCTGGGCTGCTCCCACAAGCTGGTGGAGCATCACAAGCTCCATCTCCTGCTCCCCCTCCGGTGCTCAGTGCCAGTTTGCTCATTGCCAGCAGCGCAGAGCTCGCTTGCTTTCCTTTCATCTGAATGCCTCTTGCCTCTGTTCTCTCCTAGATGATATCAGTGGGACGCTGCCTACATCTGTCCTAGTGGGTCCGATGGGGTCTTCCCTGCAGTCTTTCCCTCTGCCTCCGCCTCCTCCGCCCCACGCCCCAGGTCAGAGCAGCTCTGGGGCTTCCTTTGCACTTCCCCTTTGGTTTCCTGCCCTAAAGGACCCAAAGGACCTTTAATTGGCCCTTTGTGTTGGGATGGGTTAATTCCTTCCTTTGGTGCTTTTCCCTTCCCTCCCAGCTAGCACAGCAAACAGCAGGTGAAGGTGCTGAGTCACCTTGGAAGAGCTGTTTGACACCTCACGAGGATGCTGTCCTCCTGTCTGTCAGTCCAGCTTCCTCCTCTGCCTGCTGCATTGGGAGCTGAGCGCTCTGGGGCCCGAGCAGCTCAGCACTGACTGCACTGTGCTGTCCCTCCCTCTGCAGATGCCTTCCCCCGCATCGTTCCCCTCCGACCCACAGAAGCAGCACCCAGCCAACCCACCCCTCACCTCCAGTGCCCTCTGTACCGCCCGGACTCCAGCAGCTTTGCAGCCAGCTTGCGAGAGCTGGAGAAGGTGGGATCTGCATGGGGAGATGTGGGGAGGGAAGGGCAGTGGGGCAGGGCTCTGCATTTTGAATCGTGTTGTGAGTGAGTGGAATGATTTGGGTTGAGAGGGTTTGACCCCTATACAGGCTGCATGGAGCCCCATCTGGGTCTATGGGCACCTGCAGGGATGGGGCACACAGCTCTCTGGGCAGCCCGTGAGCCAGAGCCTCGCCACCCTCAGAGTCTTGAATTTCCACCTCACATTTGGCCTAAATCTCCCCTCTTTCACTTCAAAGTCGTCCCCCCCTTGTCCTATCACTGGCAGTCTGTGTGAGAAGTCGCTCTCCCTCCTGTTTATAAGCTCCCTGTAAGTGCTGGGAGGTGAGTTTTCCCCAGAGCCTTCTCCAGCAAGCCCAACACCCTCAGCCTTTCCACAGGAGAGGTTGCTCCAGCCCTCTGGGAGCTGCTTTTGGAGCTGGCTGGGGGCACAAAGTTGAGGCAGGACCAGAAAACACCCCCCAGTGAGGTCCTGGGCGAGTGAAGGAAGGCATCTCGTGTTCCTTCCCCACTTCTGGGTGGTAAATGCAATGGTGGATGCCGACCTGTGTGACCTGGTGTAGGGAACCTGCTTTGCAGGGGGGTTGGACTCGATGATCTCTGCAGGTCCATTCCAACCCCTACAATGCTGTGATTCTGTGATCCAGGAGCAATGAGTCCACGCTTGGGATGAATAGAAGCAGGAAATTAAATTTAGGTATAAAAGTGAATTAACGAGAGCGGATATTGGCTGTGCCTGCAGTCCTTCCTCACTAGCAGCCTGCTGACGTGGCCTGTCTCGTTCCTGCAGTGCGGGTGGTACTGGGGACCCATGAACTGGGAGGACGCAGAGATGAAGCTGAAAGGGAAACCAGACGGATCCTTTCTGGTGCGGGACAGTTCTGACCCCCGTTACATCCTGAGCCTCAGCTTCCGATCGCAGGGCATCACCCACCACACCAGGATGGAGCACTACAGAGGTGAGGGCTGGGGGTGGCTCTGGGGTGCTCTGAGCTCAAGGAGCCGCAGCGGCGCCCTTCCCTTTGCTCCAGCTGCATCCCTGCAGCAGCATCAGTGGCTTCAGCCCTGCTGCGATGGCCTCGTGCTGAGTGTGCTGCAGCAGAGTGGAAAACTGCAGAGCTGAGCACTCTGCTGGACCGATGGGGATGAGAAATGGTGGGGGCTGAGGGAATGGTGAATAGGTAACTGCTCGACCTTCAGGTTTCAGGTAGATGTGAGCAAGAAATTGGGATTTTTGTCTTTTTTTAATAGGAGAGCTGAGCAGGCAGCCCAGGGAGGCTGCTGGTGTTTGTGCATTGACCCTGCTGGGATTGCATCTGCTTGCCACCTCTAAGGTGGTGATGCTTCAGACCCTTCAGATCGGAGCTCGCTGGCTCCCAGTGCTCAGTGGGCACTCCTGTTCCTCCAGTGCTCTGCCTGGGGGTCTTCCCAGTGAAGCAGGATGGAGCTGTGCAGAGAGAAGCACGTTTTGGGTGCTGTGAGCTCAGTGCAGCCCTTCTGCTGGCTGTGGGCTGTGAGTGCAGCGCTGCCTCTTCCAGATGCTGCAAAGCCAGGAATGTTTTTGCTCATCCACGACACCACTGGGCAGGAATATGATGCTGGAGACCTACGGTTTGGCTGCAGCTCTGTAGCAGGGAGTGCTGCTCCCTGGTGCAAGAAGCAGGCAGTGCCTGCTTGCATGCAACAGAAAGGTCTGGCCAGAGGCTTCAGCCTATGTAGGGATCTGCATGCAGCTAGGGGGCCTGCTTTCCTGCTCTGCAGTCTCATTGCTTGCCATTGAAGCTGAACGTGCCCTGTTTGAGGCTGCAGAGCTGACTGGGAGCTGCCACCCAGCCTATGGGCGAGTGTGGATCTCCTGCAGCCAGCAGCAGCTCCCCGGTGATGTGAGACTCCTGTGTCCTGTTGGCAGGGACCTTCAGCCTGTGGTGCCATCCCAAGTTTGAAGACCGCTGCCAATCTGTGGTGGAGTTCATCAAGAGAGCCATCATGCACTCCAAAAACGG